ATCACAGAGGGACAAGAAAATACCCAAGAATAGAAAAAGTGTATTTACAGAAAGCTTTGATGTCCCTCTAACTTCCCAATATAGAAAACCTTTTATGAAGCACCTCTTAGGCGTTTCGCGCGCTAAGTCACATAATAATAGTAAAGAAAGCCTACACATTTTGTGCAGTGACAACAAGATATATATATATATATATATATATAATATTTTAGACAAAACAACAATACGTCATTTTACAGCAGAAATTTTCTCTTACAGTTGTTCCCCCCCAAAGTCCGTGATTCCTCAGGAATTGTACCCTATGAATAGAAAGTCTAGGCTGGTGTCCAGTAAACGTCCTGTTTATGGTCCGAGTCGATAACTTGCCTTTAGGAATCTCATGTTCTTGCTCTAAAGCAGTATTTATACCACCCATCTATCGTTATAGATTAAAATAAGTTATTAATACGTTAACTCTCTGATTTTTTCTATTTACTTTTTTACCATTCAACGATGAGTTTTATCCTCACTAAAAGTCTGGCTTTCCGGTCGCTGTCTTTACTTCTAAACGATCTTTCTTATTAACAGTAATTGACAGGATTTTGATAACACTCAGTACTTTAATTTGTTGGTACCCGTAAACAATTAAAAGCTGCTATTACTGATCTCCTAAAGTTCATAATAACGCTGCGATTGTTCAGTAGTTGTTTTCCATTGGAAGTCGAATAACTGGAATTCCTGCTGCATGAGCTACCTGCGGTTGATGTCGACTGAGTGATTCAGTGCGACAGTGCCAGTCTTCGTCAGCTGAGTGTCGTTCTTCATCACTTTCAAAAGGTTCTTCCTCTATGCTAAGCTGGGGTGAGAGGGCTTTTCGGGACATTCTAGGGCTGGTGTTGTTCTGGTCTCGAGAGTAAGAGTAGTGGTGGTACATACGAAAATGTCCATGCAGAAATCTTGATGAAACATTGTAATCTACTTCACACATTGGGTCGCTTCGTGCGAACTCGCGGAACAGAGTATCACTTTTTTCGTCAACGCTGTAGTCACGCATAAGGAATCTGTCAAAGCGCAGTCTGTTCGATTGGAAAAAGCGATGAAATACTGAAGATTTTGCTCGAACATCTTGTCGACTGTCTGAAACTGATTGAAAGTCCGAGAAAGAATCAATGTGCCATTGTAAATCACCATCGCTTAGCGTCTCGGGATCGTGACGGCTCTTTAAGTACTGTCTTCTTTTCTTAAAGGCACTCTTAATCTTCTTTCGATCAATTTCACCCGAAGTAGCAGAACCTTTATTAAAAGAGAGCAGGTGTTCTTTGCTTGACACGATTTTTCTTTTTACTTGCTCTCCTGATGAACTTTCTAAAGATTTTATTGGTTCTTTAATCTCTGGTATGCCGTTCACGCAAAATGAGTCTTTGTTAAGAATAGAATCAAGAACTGTAATAGTATCTTCGTCGATGGCAGGTTGGATTTGTTTCCGACTTAGTTTGGGAGGTTTTCCATTTCCATCAACAGACATGGATTTATAGCCACTATCTGCCTTCATCTGTTGCAACATGTGCGACTGCCCATCTCCTGTACTGTCAGTGTTGTCGGTGGTCGTAGAATCCATGGATGTTGTGTGGCCTTCTGTTCTGCTGATATCAGTAGAGGAACCCTCAGTTTCCATACTGTCCAAACTGTTGTCTGTGCTGTTGGCCGTAGGCTGTATAGGATCTGATGCATACCTTCTTTCCAGGCGTCTAGCAAGTAGATTTTGATAACTGTGTCTTCTAGATTCATATGAAGAAACATGAAGTAGGTTATTAGTTATCTTAAATAGGTTTTCCCTAGATGGCTCACACCTCGCGTTACTGTAAACAGGATCTTCATCTGAATCCAACAATCTAGCCTGTAAAATGACTGGATCCAGATCAGGAGGTCTTTCTGTGGCTCGTTGAAGTTGTTCTCCTTCAGTTAGATCATTGCTATCGTCTTTGCATTTTTCTTTAACAGCTGATGAATCTTGATTTTCACCATTAGTTACATGCTTGTCTTTCTCTTGAGATTCTCTTCCTTCTGTCTGACAAGACAACTCACCTTCCTGACTTTTTGGTGATTTTATCTGTTCTGTTTCAATCACAGAAATACATTTTTCTCCATCTTTATCATACACTCCTGAAACCTCCAAAGTCTTATTCTCTGTATCATACACTTCTAAATGACAAATGTCAGTCAAGTCATCACCCTCGTCTATTTGCGAAATGTCCTGAAGTTCTTCTTCTTCAAAAGCAGCTCGAAGCTCCCATAGTTCACGGTACTGTTGACGTTCAAAATCGTATTCCTCCTTGACTAATTCTTCCTCTTCCATTTCCTCACTTTCTGAAGATGAAATTACTATAGTTTCTTCCCGCACATCCTCCTTACTTCCTGTATCGTGGTAACGAATCTTGTATGTTTCTGTACTCTCCTGCTCAGGACTGGAAATATTTGAATGAGGTACAGTTTTTTTACGATTTTCTTCCTGATATAATTCCAACTTCCGTTCTAGAATTCCATTTTCAGTACTTCTAGCTTCACGTAAAGAGGTTGGAATCTCCTTCCAGCCCTCCCCGTCCAACACAACATCCAAACTGGAGACTGACCTTTTTCGGATATGTGGATCTTCTTTCACTTGAAGACACTCGTACTTTTCTAATGCTACACTTTCAACGGCTGTTTGTTGGGAAGGAACTGAAACATGATCGTAACTTTCTAATTTTGTACTATCAACACTCGACTGTTGGCACGAATCTGTTACTTCCAAGTATTCTTCTAGGATAACAGCACTAATGCTAGACCAAATGGTTTGCGAAGAGGATTCCTTAACATCAATACGTTTGCCGACTGCCTCTTGTGCTATGACTGTCTTTGTGCTACTTGAATCTAGAGAAGAATGGGAGTGGCTATACTGAGAAGATTCTTGTTCTTCTTTTGGCACCAACGTACTGTCAGTCGGACTTTCGCTGGTTACAGCCTCTGGATGTTCTGCGTGATGATGCACCACAACCGATACCTTGGTTACGCCAGCTCCCATTTCAACCTCACCAGGACTGTGCGCTCTCGAACCATTAGATTCACCCGTTTCATTAGATGGCAAGCTTTCGCAAAGAACCGACTGATCTGACTCAATCGATTGACGCTGTAATGTAGCTTCAGCATCTTCTTCATCTGATATACAGAGAGAGGCTTGTCGTTGGATTCCACCTCCAGATGATCTCCTGCTTCCTGCTGGACCGAGGGAACTATGGGAAAAAAATAGTTAGTTTTTACCCCGATAAGCTTAATCATGTCTTTTTTAGTGTGCGAATATAAAATAAGTCATGTATTAATTTTGTTGATAGGGTATTTAATGCTAATGGAAACAAATTATAGAACTGTTTCAAAAACGGCTAATTACAGAAATGCTTAAAAGTCTAATTCTTAAGATTTCTTTTGTCCGAATATACCCAAATAAAAACTATGTTAATACAAGTGAAAGCTTAATGTCACTATTAATGTTGAATTATTATATGTTCCTAGATAACAAATTATCGGTTTCATATTAATTTGCCTAGTTTGTTAGTTTATAACAGGAAAAACAATCCTACTGGTTTTCCTATTTAGCTTAAGTGTTTAAATTTAAATTGCTTTAAGTGGCCAATATTTTATACTAGAAGTTAGACTTTTGCTCAGCATGTGTTTCGAAAACAACATTTTTCTTCACTACTTAAAGCATGTAAACCTACATGACTGTTCAGCTTACGAGTTAATTCATCTTTTACTCGTGTTAATTCACATAGCTACTCAACTATATTTTTTATAAAACATGCTAACTTACTCTTCAACTGTGATAATTCACATGACTATTCAACTTACTCTTGTAAGAAAACAGGTTAATTCATTCTTTATCCGTTTTAATTTACATGACTACTAAACCTAGTTTTGTAGCAAAACAAGTTAATTCAATCTTCAACTGTGCTAAATCACATAATTCAGGACTGTTTTGCTCTAAAAGAAATTTTACAGGAATGTTTTACCTTTCAACCGGTGATTTATGCTCAGAACCTAATTCTGGTATTTTGGTTTCCGGAATTTCTGAAACAACAACCAAAAGAAAAAAAAAAGAGAGAAAAAAAGGAATAAATGTTTATTACTTGTGAACAAAAGGAAAATGAATATTGTGTTTCCACATTTATTGACTAAATGGATTGATCTTGACCATAAAATGATAGATGTAAATGAATAAATAAACTTGGAGTTTAAAGAGTTGCAGCTAAGTATTCAACTGCGACATACGACTACCTACTTTTTAAAACAGAGAAATACAGAATCTCGAAAGATGCTCTTAAAGATATAAAATCAAATGTTTTACATCTAACAATTCATAGTTTCTTTTCCAAATCTTTACAAAGGTGGTGATGAATATGTTTTATGCAGAACAAAGGGAATACTAGTTCTGTAAAATGTGCACAAAGTTATAATATGTTTCTTGTTTTTACAAAATAATTTGATGTCTTCCAAACTAAAAAATATACCTAAAAAATTTTAAACACAAGCACTTAATTGTACATGCTCAGCAATTAGGTTTTTTAATGAAAAATGAAACTACTAACAAAGATTTATTCTAATTTATATTGCGACTCTCATAAAATATTTAAAATGTAATAAATTTATGTTATCCTTTATTAATTGGTCATTGCAGGCATATTCAGAGTCTTATTGCCATCTGTTGACGAAAACTAGTACTCCAACAGTTTTATAATATTTTAGTTACTTCTGGCTCTAACACTAATTTCCTTCTTTAGGCTCTCTATTATCAAATGCGCAATCAGTTAAAGACTTATATCCATTTTATCAGAAGCCTGAGCCCCAATATGATTTAGTTATGATTTGTTAAGATTTTTGAATATAACATTACTTTGTCACCTTTTACTTATTTCTTACCAATGAATTTGTGGAATATTTAAAAATCGATTGTCTCAGAACTGAGTGTATGTTATTTATATATGCAGCTTAATGAAAGGATTGTTTAATAATTGTTTGAATGTTACTTTTCCAGTTATCTTTTCAGAATAAAACTTTGAGAAGTATTTTTTTGAAATGTTTTATAAGAAGCATGAGTAGAAACAGATCTATAAAAACAACAAACAAAACACGCCATACATACATGTTAATTAATATCAACATCGAGATATTCCTTATTCTGATGATAACATTCAAAACATCATATTAATTGCACGAAACTGGTGACACAAGATAACATATGCAAATAAACGTCAATTTTTTTCTTTTTTTAACTATGTCCTTGACGGGCAATCTTCCAACCACAGATTGCTAATAATGAATTTTATGAAGCCAGTTTTTAATAAAAGATAACTTGGACTAACCCATTCATAGTGTTTTTCATCCTCTTTGCAATAAACATAATACAATTACGATGAAGGATGCTATTGAGCAAACTAATTGGAAAGAAGGAAGGAATGTATACAGTTTATTGTGATTCGTACACTTATACTGCTGTTGAGATGATAAGCTATATATCCTCCTATACGTGAAGAAGTAACATCACAGTGCAGTGTTAACAGATCATAATTAATTCACATTGAAGTCTCTTAGAAATTACTTTCAAGGAATGAAATCAACATTAACGTTGACTCCAGGTGTTCATTTATATAAAACCTCATTTACCTGGTAGCTGTTCCGACAAGGACCGTGGTGACACACACCCAGAAACCGGAAGGTGGTATTCCTCCAGTGTGTACTGTTCTTTGGGCTCCTTGCTACTACAGAAATAAAAACAACACATCAAACAACTTGCGGATTCGTTACTACTATTGGCTAAGGAGCTCTGTGTTATAGAAGATAAGTGAACGAAGATGAAAGACAATATTGGCTCTGTATTACTCTATATCATCTAATTATATAATCCATTGTAAAAGTCACGAGAATTATGAATTTCGTAAAACAAGTTACGTCTTTTAATTTCAGTGAAGAACAACCTTAAAAAAATCCAAAATAGTTTCTGCCGTAATAATTATTCATGTATTTATTTGATATCAGGTCACTGTATTTTTGTTTTTTTAACACGGCGTTCAACAGCTTTTTATGTGATGTTTGTTACACAGATATTTGTAGAGACTTTGAAATGTTTTCTGGGTATTTTATTCTAATCATTTATTATTTATCTCAACAAACTTAAATTGTATTTTTCGTGTTTCGTTTATAATATGATGCAAATCGAGTTAATCTATATGCCACTTTCTAGGCTACAAAACAATACAGAGAGAGTTGTTCTGTTTCACATGTGATCATGTAGTACCTCTATTAATTTTTGATTTTTACTCTGTGAATTTTATAAAGACTTTCCTCTTAATTTACTAGCTTTACTCTGTGAATTTTACAATGAACCCTTCTCATTTTCTATGTAAACCTTAAAATGACCCCTTTTGATTTTTTTTCAAGAATCAAAAAGGCTCCTGAACACATATTAAGCCACGACTTATGCGTTTCCAATGTGTATTACGTGACATATCAACACTCCATTTTATTCTACAAATCTCCAAAACAGAAACTTAGTAGGGAAAGTGAGATAAAACGGTCCTTCTTTGTAGAAAGATCACCCCTGTATACCGTCAGTTACGACACGCTGCCATCTAGAATGAAGTATGTGTAACTATTGTTCATGTGACCCTATGCAGGAATACATAGGCGGGAAGGTGCGAATGTGAGGGATAAAAGCATCTTACAGCTGAAGGCGCTCTATCCCATAATAGTATACATGTAAATTGTTTTCATGTTTAATATTTATATTATTTTTGCACCATTATTCTAGATGGGTATGGTGAACAACCTTCCCGATTTCTGGCAGAAACATCCAAGTGTTTTAATGCAGCATATATTATAAGTTACATTTGTTATGAGTTAGATTAGGGACAAGTTACTCCATCTTGGGGGTCCGTTTTATCTAACGTCACTGGTGAAATGGACCTCAACTACAAGAAGTGAATTTTTTTTTCAGTATCTAAAAAAGTATCTATTCGATCTTTGTTTTAACTAGAAATGATATTTACAATAACAAGGGTTCCTTTTAAAACCTTTTGCTCTTTTATTTTAATTGGTGTAAACCGCATTCAAAGTTAAGGTGGCCTTCTTATCCAACCTTCCTCTACTCTAAAGCTAATTTCAACGATTTCCCTTCTCAGAATATACCATGGTTACACCTGGAGTGTGATACACCTTTCAGAAAATATAAACAAAACAGATCAAATATCAAGGTTTTTTGTAATCTTCAAAACTAAAGAAGCGAATTTTATAACCATTGACCCTAATCACAAGGACAAAATGATTCTGATTTCACATATACGCTTCTATCTTAAAGACAGTCTTCAAACATATTTCGAGCGACTATATTTCACGTAATTTAGACTGTACCTACCCTATAATTTCTAAAGGTGGAGACGTTTTGAACGCGACTAATTTTCCGAAATAGTGAAATATAAAAAAGTGAATACAAATACACATGCCAATACATCATTCACATATACATTATTACAGATAAACATGCCAATACATCATTCACATATACATTACTAGAAATACACATGCCAATACATCATTCACATATACATTACTAGAAATACACATGCCAATACATCATTCACATATACATTATTACAGATAAACATGCCAATACATCATTCACATATACATTATTACAAATACACATGCCAATACATCATTCACATATACATTATTACAGATAAACATGCCAATACATCATTGACATATACATTATTACAAATACACATGCCAATACATCATTCACATATACATTATTACAGATAAACATGCCAATACATCATTCACATATACATTACTACAAATACACATGCCAATACATCATTCACATATACATTACTACAAATACACATGTCAATACATCATTCACATATACATTATTACAGATTCTTTGTTGTCAGTTATCTTCTAGACTCTAGAATTTGTATTATTACTGAATGCGGGATTCTTGTCTATTTGGCAGTTAACTTCTGGATTCTCGAATCTGTATTACCACTGAATGCAGGATTCTGTACTCTATGTTTTCAATTAACTGCTGGATTTAAGAATTTGTATGTCTGCTAAACGGAGGATTCTAGACTATGTCGTTAATTAACTTCTGGATTCTAGAATCTGTATTACTGTTGAACGCAAGATTCTAGACTATTTTGTTAGTTATCTTCTGGACTCTAGAATCTGTATGTCTGCTGAACATAGGATTATATATTCTGATGTTGTTAGTTAACATCTGGATTCTAGAATATGTATGTCAGTTGAATGCAGGATTCTAGACTCTATATTGTCAGAGATTCAAAATTATTTATATATTTAATTGTCAGCTCTACAGTTAATATTTTTATCGTTGCTAAGTTCTAGAATATATATCTATGTGTTTGTCTATCTACATCTGTTTGCATACAATGTTCTGAATAGTTATATAATTAAAACAGAACATACCATAAAGACTGTAATTTAACAAACTTACAGATTAAATACTTTTAGTCTTCATGATTTAAATATAATTATAGAGTCACCTTAATAAAACCACCTACAGTTGAAGCTCTTACCATAACCATTAACCAATCAGCTTGAACAGCCTTTTCTTTCCGCTAATGACGTCAGAAGAAGATACCATGACGTTATTAGATCATGTGATGTACACTGAAGCATGCAGAGAGCAAAGCAGTTGAAAGCTAGACGCACAACAACAAAATATTTTTCTAACATGTTTTCCATTTATTCGGGTAAAGAAGTTGGATCTAACTTCTCATAAATGTAGATGTAGGACGGAGAACAGACTGTCGGTAAAAGTTACTAATTACAACATTAGTTTAACTTTAAATAAAACAAAGCGAGTGGCTAGCTATATATGATGTTCGCAATTGCGTCAAAGGGTTTTTATGTCAGTATAATTTGTATGGGTAGAAGCATAAGAAATAAAATAAGTAAATTAACGCAATGTGGATTATTATTGTTTAGGTTTTAATATGTACAACATGGTGTACCGTTTACCCAATGTACTATGTAACTATACATTTAAAAGTATATTCTATTATATATGACATTACTCTAATTTAGAGTCTTTCAACATATTTGGCAATATTAAATCACATTTCATTATACTCTATATCTGGAAAACTTAGACATGTCTCAAATGCTTACTACGTTAGTTTAGCCAAGTCTATATAGTGTGTTATAACAAGTCTTATGTTACAAGCTGCATGTAGAAGCACAACAATTAGTAGTAAGACGTGCGTGATATTCAGTTACTGCCAGTATTACTGTGTTTTTCGAGTAGGGAATCATAATTCAAAGTTTTTATATTCGAACAACTTTTTGTTTTCACTTTTTTAATTGTATCTAGATATTAAAAAAAGGCTTACATGTATCTGTAAATTCTTTTTGTTTTTCATTTTTAGTGTCTTTTGTTGATGACTATAACTGAGAAACGTTTACTATTCTCTATCATTATATATATATATTATAGTATAGCTCATTTTACTACAAATAATGCCGTCGAAAGCTTGAGTACTTCTGCTAATGTATATATTTTACAAAACGAACAAAAACACAGACACCTCCGAATAATTTAAACAAATTGTAAGAAATAGTATTTTACACTTGTTAGGAAGAGACCCTGATTAGAACGTTACAAAGAGCACGAAAATGTATTTGTTAAAAAGGACTTTATAAACATTCAAATTTGTCACACAAACAAAGATATTCGTTAGTATAGTTTCTAAATAATGTAAAGAAAATATCAATTAATTTATTCATTTTGACAATTTTTTTAGTAAATTCTAAGTACTTCACTTCATAGAACAAATGAAGATAAATTCCTATAGTAATTTGATGGTTGACATGTAATTCAAGAAAATGAGTGACATTACCTCTATTAAAGGTTAAAACTGCATGTGAAAATTGCACTTAAATCTAGTAAGAGTCAATGATATACAAACATGTTTCATTCGCGCATCTGGTCAGTTACTGACCTAATGTATAACATATTTGAATTATTGGTCAGTTTATCCCAGTTACTGAGCTAATGCATAACATATCTAAATTATTGGTCAGTTTATCTCAGCTACTGAGCTAATGTATATTATATCTAAATTATTGACCAGTTTATCTCAGCTACTGAGCTAGTGTATAGTATATCTAAATTATAGGCCAGTTTATCTCAGCTACTAAGCTAATGTATAACATATTTAAATTATTGGTCAGTTTATCTCAGTTACTGAGCTAATGTATAATATATCTAAATTATAGGCCAGTTTATCTCAGCTACCAAGCTAATGTATAACATATTTAAATTATTGGTCAGTTTATCTCAGTTACTGAGCTAATATATAACATATCTAAATTATTGGTCAGCTTATCTCAGCCACTGAGCTAGTGTATAATATATCTAAATTATAGGCCAGTTTATCTCAGCTACTGAGCTAATGTATAATATATCTAAATTATTGACCAGTTTATCTCAGCTACTGAGCTAATGTATAATATATCTAAATTATAGGTCACTTTATCTCAGTTACTGAGCCAATGTATAATATATCAAAATTACTGACCAGTTTATCTCAGTTACGGAGCTAATATATAATACAGTTAAATTAGTAGTCAGTTTATCTCAGTTACTGAGCCAATGTATAATATACCTAAATTAGTGGTCAGTTTATCCCAGTTTCCGCACTAAGGTATACTATATTTAAATTATTGGTCAGTT